AGGAGATAAAAGAAATAATTTATACAATTTAAATGTATCAATGTGTTCTCTCCAAAAATATTTATGCCTTTATTAAAGACATCTTTTCTTAAGAAAGAATTAAAAAATTTCAGAATCCTTTTTTAAAACTTGTCTTTAATTATTTATGATAACCAGTTTGAATTTATAGTTTATTTTTGTGTCTGGCTAATCGAACACTTCGATTCTTCGATTTCACTTAACTGGTGTTAATATCGTGTGCCAATGTAGTCCAAGAATATTTAACACTTTCACAACGCAATTAGAGCAAGATTCGTTAAAGGCAAAACTGGCCAAGATCCAAGATGCCCGATTCCGAACCCACTGTGATCTGTGAAACACGTGGAGTTGCATGTTGCGGCAAGAAAGTTTTTTTTTTAATTTTTATTTTATTTTTTTTTTTTTTTAGATTTTTGCAGTCTTGGGCTAATTGATCGATAATAATTTTCCATTTACCGTTAAAGCGCCTCGTTTGTTTACATTCTTTGGAGTCCGGCACGTCGAACGGTCGGAGATCGGGCATGAAAACAAGTTCTACGAAATCTCTGAGCTGAGCAGAGCCGAGCCGAGCAGAGTAGCTCTCTTCTCGGATCTTAGCCAGCATCAGCATCAGCCTCAGCCTCAGCAGCATGGTCATGATTTAATTAATTTCCATTCCATGGCTTTGCGCATAAATTTCACTGCACGGACGACAGCACAGCCGATAACTGTTCCGTTGGCCAAAAAGCAGTATATAATATACATAAGCCATATAGAGAAGTCAAGCCACTGCCACTGCCCCAAGGGCCAAGTGACACACTGGGGGCATGCAACCGACTCAGAATTCGGCTATTGGGCCAATTTTCTTGGATGATTAATGGCATTGCCACCAACAACAAGAACAACTTTGATACGACTTTTTGTTGGGAAGACAAACTTGTTATCTCATTTTGCAGCTGCTTCCTCCGTTCGTATTTTTTTCCGATCTTTTTCCCCCTTTATAATAAACACCGAAAAATGTTTTAAAGCGGCGCGAAATTATTCAGGCGTTTGACACACTTTCGTTCGGTGTGTTGTGTGTTCGGTGTTCAGTGTTCAGTGTTCAGTGTTCAGTGTTCAGTGTTCAGTGTTGAGGTGTGTGTGTTGTTTTCAGCCGGCTGGTTGTTGCTCTGGCTGTTTTTCTCAGGTGCGATTGCGATGCTGTAACCTATTTTGCATGCGCCGCCTGCGATTATGGGACTGCAGCGCGCGTTGACTTGATTTTCTCGATCCAACAATTAGGGTCAGAGGATTGGCGGATTATAATCAGTAAGCCGCAAGAAGGCTCTTCAAAACACACGTATTTGTATGCGGCAAATGGCAGGTGCGGTGTCGTCTCTAATAGGGGCGTGCCTGAGAATTCTCAGCCTATTAGATTTGAGACACCCAAAAGTGTTAGTGTAATCTCCACAGGAAACGTTTCATTTTACAGTAGGTATCCAGTAAATTCAAAGCCCTAAAAAGTGTTTTACTTATATTCGTATTTAAAACAATTCTTACAAAATCAACAGTAGAGGTATTTATTTACAAATTTATTTATTTCAACTTTAAGTTAGTTTAAAAAAACTTTAATTTTTTTTTATACTTTTAGTAAACAAAAAATGATGACCTAATTTTCAAGATTCGGCTTGAATGAACATTTTTGTCTTCACTCAAAATCTTTTTTATAACTTTATCAAGAGGTTCAGAAATATATTTTACTGTTACTTCTTCTAAGACAATATGTATTTATAAGACTAGAGTTATAAACGCATTGTGTTAAAAAAAATTTTGTTTAAGATTAAAAAAGATTTTAGTTTTGTATCATTTATGCAAAAAGTAAGCATGTTTCAACTAAACTTTGCTAAGTGTAAAGAATTTTTAAATAAATAAATATGCACAACCTTACGTTTTTTATTAATCAGAAAAGTTGTTATAGTGAAGCTCCACTGTGTGGGCGTGCTCGTAAAGCTAAAATTTTTAGGGTAACTTTCAAACTGCATAATCATGTACTACAACATTCAATTTGCTCGGGCTAGATCAAATAAATTATGTTAAACTGCATAATTATCGCCGGTTGGTCGTGCTGCCTGCCATACTTCATTAAGTCGGCCCCAGGTTGGTAATTAATTCATTGAATCCGCAAGCCGAGTTTGAAGTCTCTTGGGAGCTCTGTTAGCCTTGGCAGACGGTACTACCAATGTGCCTCAGCCTCTGTTAGGGCCAATGATTCTGTTAATCGGCTCTTTCTTTAGAAACAAGAGCCTTTGTTTTGGCCCAACTCCAGACTCGCAACCGCCTGCGGCCTTTTCTCACGTCTCTTCGCCGACTCTCTTTCGGTCCGTGTTTGCGCCCGCTTTTAACGATTTGCGGAAGAATACTTAAGAGCACTTAAGTGTCTAATCGTAAAAACGCGAAATGTCTGCAAATAATAAAGCTGCAAAAAACATTATTGTTATTTTATTAGTAGACGCCACAAAAAAACGAAATCGCCTTTGAGAGATGAATGGGCCGAGCGAAAATAGAGATAGAAATGGAGAAAAGGCGATGGAGAAACACTATCACTTTTACTCAATTATGCATGTATGAAGATATTTTGACTGCTATTCTAATGGAGGCTTTTGCACTACTTTTTCACTACCTCTACCCCCAAACACTTGACTTCGCAGTACTCTGATTTACTTTCACTGACGCTACGTGTCCGGCATACTCTCAAAATCTTGGCTTGAGTCATGATGATTGCCTCCATTTCGTGGGCCGTTCCCTGCAATTTCGGTTTCGTTACCTTCTGATTTTCATTTAATTAGCAGTAAACTAATTGCCAGTAAGCCTCCGAAACTAGTTCGTTGGCCGTGTTTGCACTGGGCTCTCTTATGCTCCAATTTCACGACCAAACATTGACACAGTCCCAGTCCGCGTTGCGGATTGGGGTCGCCACCAGTCGCAAGTGGAGCGTCCGCGAGGTGTTAATTTGTCAGCACAAACCCGTCAGAAGTCGGTGGCCACTGCTTTCCCACTTTTGGTTTAATTGCTGCCAAAATCAATTTCGTTCCAAATGTCAGGAGGCGCGATTTAATTGATTCTCTTTCGAGGACTTTAAACGCCGGTCGTACTCTCTATAACCACATACACTGCACGAACGACTTTTGGAACCTTGTTTTTAAAATTCGAATTTCTATTTTTTTTGACTTTAAAAAGAAACCACCACAAAGTACTTTACTATTAACTCTTAACTTAATTACTCTACTTACTTAATTATTAACTCTATTTCTTTTAAATTATTTCCCCATTCGAAGCAATTAAATGTATTTTTTGATTGAAAATATTCTATATTATAATAATTAAAAGTACTTGCAATTAGAATTATACTTTATTACTAACTTTCTTTCTATTTAATTATTTCCCCATTCGCAGCAATTATCTTTATTTATTACGCCGTATACATAATGATTTCAGAGGATCATTAAAAACGAAGCGTTCTAGTTCTTTTTAAATACAACTAAAATATAATTATTAATTTTAACGATTATTAAATGGGTTTTAAGGCAGTAAACAATTTTTAACAACCGATAAATCTAAATGGGGAAATTGCTGTCAATAAACTTAAGAGCAAGATAATTGAACCATGCAAACAAAATAAATTTATTACAGAAAATTGGTACCTATGTTTATATTTGAAGGTTATTTCAAATAACAATGGGTATGTATTTATATTTGTCTATTTTAAGAATAGACTTCCGAAAGGGTTTTACACCCAGAGTAAGTCCGAGCCAGCCTTTCTCCATTTCTTTCAGACTGCCTGTGGTTGCTGTCGTCATTTGGCAAATGAGGTGTAAAACCACTCAAGTGCATTGCCCACACCTGGGCCGCAGATGAACTTTGACACGGCAAGTGGCTGTGGCTATGTGAGTTGGTAGTTCGTTGGTAGTTGGGCTGCGATACCGACCAGGGCCACTTTCACTTGCCGGTTTTCGAGTGGCCTTTTCAGTGGGTTTCTTGGCTTTGCTTTACTGCCCACAAGAACGGGGAAAATATGGCCGCTGTTAATTGAGTTTATAGGCCTTATAGTTGATGTTTGTGTAGCGGCTGCTGTTGATGTTTGGCCCAAGGTTGTTCCTCACAATTAGCACTGAAAAGAGCAATTATATGGATGGCATTTGTGCGACATTTGTGCGGCATTGATGCGTTCGCTCAATGTTGTCACTTTCATTTAAGGAATTTCCCACATTTTCACTACCCCCGCCAGCTATAATCCAATTAACTACAGTTGAGCGAAAAGAGATGCCTGAATGACATGTTAATTAAACTTTGGCCACGGGGAATTTGACAGTTGGCTTTCAGATTATTGGCAAGCGAAATCTGTTTGAAAGTCTATGTAGGCAAACTGAAATCGAATCTTTAATTGAGCTAACCCCAAACCCATTGTACGAACTTGTTGGAAAATTTATGCATGCTGAGCTGACAATCAGTACACAAACTCTAGAAAGCCAAAAACAGGCTGTTGAAATATATTTGTTTGACTTGTACGCCACAAAATATTTGGGTTTTAACAAACATTTTCGGAATTTTCTTCTTTAAATCAGGGACCGAATTAATAATGTTTTTAAACAAACAAATCATGGCCGCAGAAAGCCAATACAATATTTAGGCATAAAAGTTTTGAAATGTAGTAAAATGTTTTTTTTCTTTTTTAACGTGATAATAATTATTTTTTTAAGTGTTATGTTATGTTATTTTAACTCAAGAAAAATGTTTTATATTGCGATTACAAAAAAATTTACAATGCGAAAGTAGAACTCACAGAATAATCATTATTTCTGGCAATGAAATAAAAACTCAAAAAATATCCCTTAAAAAAATGACTGCTTAAATAATTATTAATATGAAAAATTAAATTAAAATTATGATTTTTTTTTATAAAGTGTATAATTTTTGAATAAAGTGTATAATGGTCGCTTACTAATAATTTTCCGTTTCGTTTACAGCCAACGGTCGCAAGCTGTTTGGTGGCTACCGCATCACCCCGAAGCACTGCAGGGCCACCAAAACGTTGCCCAGTTCGGATCCGCGGGCCAATGGACCCACCATCTGCATGTTCAACCATGAGTGCGCCCAGCGGGGCGGCGAGGTTGTGGGCGCCTGCATGGATGGCTTCCTCTTCGGAGCCTGCTGCCAGATTCCGCCCACCCACGAGTTGGCCAGCACGCTGATCAACGAGGCCCAGAACGCCTATTTCCAGCAGCACCAGCAGCAGACGAAGCTCCAGCAGGCAGCAGCCCAGTCCTCCTTCGAGAGCTACGGCGAGCAGCAGCAGCAACTGCTGAGTGAGGAGCAGGTGTCCCAGCAGCCGTCGCAGAGCATCTACGATCAGCAGAACCTGGACAAGGTGTACCAGCAGCTGGGCAGCAGCAGTAGCATCAGTCCACCCAGCGGCGCCTATGGAGATGAGCCCCAGCAGCAGCAGGAGCAGCTAGAGGATCAGCCGGAGTCGGAGGCACCCGCCTACTCCAGCAGCAGTGCTTCCACGGAGACTTCCACCCAGTCGCAATCCTCCTCCTCCAGTGTGGAATTCGAGCAGGAGCCTTCGCAGCAGGCCGACATCTCCAGTGATCAGACCACCCAGGAGATCACCAAGCAACCCGTTCAACCCGTTCAACCACCCATCCAACCACCCATCCAACCACCCAACTTCCATGTGCACAAGCATTCCGTGACGATCAACTCACCATCGTCGCCGCCCCAGAACGATGACTTTGTGATGCAGGTGCTGAGCACATTGCCGCCAGAACATGCCGACGACCATCACGTGGTCTTCACCACCGAGGTGCCCATGAAGATAGCCAGCGGTTTGCAGGATCAAACGAGCTCCGAGTCCAACTCCTTCGAAGAGGTTTCCTCAACGCCAGCGGCCACCCAAAAACCCAAGACAAAGCCCACCCAGAAGATGACTCAGAAGCCCACACAGAAACCCACTCCGAAGGCTACTCAGAGACCCAAGCCGAAACCCGTTCCCCAATTGGCGGAGAGCATGAAGCGACCCGTCCAGCAGGCGAAACCCAAGCCGAATCCCAAGCCAGTCCAGACTGCTGCCAACAATCATCATCATAACCATTTGATCCTGGATGGCGGAGAGTTCACGCACAGTGACATCACCCACCCCGGAGCAGATGCCGATCTCGTGGAGGATCTGCAGTTCTCAACAGGATATGGACCGCAGCCTGTGTACGCGGAACCACCAAAGCAGCAGCAGCAGCAGCAGCCGCAACAACAAGAGCAGAGCTACATCTCCTCCAGCACAAGTGCCAAGCGTCCAACGACGGGTCAGAGTAGCCCCACCACTGTTTCATCGATCACCACCCATGTGGACTCCATCGAGTCGATCATCCTGCAGCTGAACAACACCAGTCATGGGCCCAGCTACAATGTGGTGAGCCAGCAGACTCCCTCCTACGGCTATCCTGGCGTGGGAGCAGTCCACACTGAGCCAGCCACCCAGCCGCCCACTTTCTACAACGAGGACAACGAGGCCGAGAAGGTTCAGGAGCAGGACTCACAGTCGGACTATGGCTACTCCACCACGGTAAACTACGAGCCATCGTATGACAAGGTTTCGAATGAGCAGGATGCGTCGGCATCGGTCAGTCAGTCCGCTGAGATGCCCACCGCTCGTCCTGGCTACGGAGAGGATGTGTCCGCCGTTCTGGAGGATCACACGCTGCCGGCCAATGGCTACCACGATGCTATGGCTCCAGTTGCTCCGCAGACCTCCGAGTTCAACAAGATGCCCGTGATGGGCATTGCCTATCCCGTGGACATGTCCTACATGGAGGAGGAGGAGAATTCGCCGGCCACCGCGGCTGGCTATGGCCAGGCCATAAGCAGTGACTCCTACGAGGCCAGCACCGAGTCCACCTACCAGAAGCTCTCCACCGTCCAAACGGAGGAGCCACAGCCAGTGCCCACCTACGTGCGTCCCACCACCAATGCCAACAAGCAAAATCGCCCGGTGGCCTCGTACATTGGAATGGTGACCATGCAGCAGTACAGCCCACGTCCGCAGACCAGTGGAAATGCTGACTATCAGGCCCAAGTGCCCGCCGAAGTGTCCGTATCCTCGCACACCACCAAAGTCCAGGAGCAGTACGACGAGACCTCCAATGTCTACCAGCAATCGGAGACCACCTCCGGCTATGTAGCCCCACCAACTGCTGCTCCGCCGGCAGCACAGCGTCCTCAATATGACGCTGTGCCGGAAGATGCATCCTCGGAGCGACCCGTTTTGGTGACGGCCAGTCCGACCAGACCGCGCCCCAAACCCATTACCAAGCGACCTGCCGTGAAGAGACCCATCAGCGGGGAGAACACCAAGAAGAAGCCCCAGCCGCAGCCAAGTGCTGGTGCCTACAACCAGGACAAGATCAGCGAGCACAGCAGCACGAGGAGGCCGGTGTCCAGTGGATACGACAATGTGCCCGAGTCCCCCATCACGCACATTCAGATCAAGAAGCCAGCAGTTGATCATCACAAGGAGCAGGAGCAAACGGGCTACCCCAGGCCAGCCAGTGGAGTGTACGAACAGACCACCGCGGCATCTGCTCCGCCAGCTGCTCTGCCAGCTGCTCTGCCAGCTGCTCCATCGCTCAGCTACGACAAGCCAGATGCCCCAGCCAGCCAGTATGACCAGCCATCGGCTCCATCCGTCGGCTACGATCAGTTGGCGCCGATGCCATCGCTCAACTACAACGAGGAGCACGTGGCCAGTTCGCCGGGTAGAAAGCCGTCGACGGGCAAGCCCGTGTCCACCAGCTATGTGACCGGACCCAGTACCCCGCGACCACCGGCCACCGTTGACTATCACTACGACAATGTGCCGCCTCTGTTCATGGCCGACGACAAGCTGGACGCCTTCATCCAGAGCACGGCGGAGAACATTGTGGGCTCCACGCCGGGTAACTATCAGCCCCCGCTGGTGGCCACCGCCTCGACGCCCATCTACGCCCACAGACCAACAGTCAGTGGGAGCTATGGCCACAAGAAGCCCGGCTTCGTGCAGATCAATGGAACACCCAAGCCACCCAGACCCACGGTTCTCATTACGCCCAAGCCCACGACCATCAATCTTCTTACCTACACCTCACTGAGTGACGACAGCAACAAGCTGGCCACCAGCACGGGAGCGTATGTGACCGGCCGACCAGGAGCGCAGGGTGTGGGTTCCAACGATTTTGAGGATCCCGGCTACTTTGGCAGCAGCCCAGTGCATGCGGCCTTCACCCAGTCCACCACAGAGGCCATCTATGCAGTGCCCTCCGACGACAAGCCGGCGTTCCCTGGCTACTTTGGGCCCACGCCCTCGTACCCCGCCTTCTCCGTTCCGGGCGAGAAAGTGGGTCAGAACGTGGTGGAGGAAACCTACACGTCACCCAATGACTTTGTCAACTTCCCGCCGGTGAGGAACCCCAATCTGAACATGTCCGCCGCCGCCTCCAGTGCAGTGACCAGCGATCTGGACCTCTCCACTCCCGCCTTCGTGGAGGATGTGGTGCTGAAGGACAAGATGCACACGCTGGTGCACAAGCTGGTGGCCTCGCTGCAGGGTAACTTCGAGGCCCTGGCCGACATGATCGATGAGCCGGGTAGTAATAAGACGGTGGTCACCTACCAGGCCGGAGCAGGAGGAGCTGGAGGAGCAGGAGGAGCAGCCAAGCCCGTGAAGGTAGCAACCACGCGCAAGCCCGTGAGGATAGCCACCACAACCAAGCCAAAGGTCACCACCAAGAAGCCCGTGTCCCGGGTCACGACCAAGGCGCCCAACAAGAAGACCTCCGCCGTCAGCAGCACCACTCGCAAGCCCGTAACACGTCGCACCACCGTGGCTGCCAAGGTGACCACCACAACGCGGAAGCCAGCGACCAAGAAGCCAACCCGCCGGGTGAGCAGCACCGTGAAGACCACTACCGAGAGCTCGGCTCGTCCGGCGGACGATGAGATCGTGGACGAGGAGGACGAAGAGGACGTCAATCCCAATCCCAGCGACAACGAGATCGACCAGGGCGCCACGCTCAGCTCTTACGGCGGAGCCAACGGACGGAAGATTCGTAAGTGTGGACTGAATGTAGCATGGACTAGCATGGACCCGAAACAACTGTCTTTCTCTCTCTATTTCTTGTTCTCTCACCTGCCCTTCACCTGTTCCTAACCCCTCATGCACTTAACCCCACGCTTCCTCAAACCTAATCCTCCATTGCATTTTTGACTGATCCGAAATTTATAGCGCGTCGCAAGCACAAGCGGCGCAACCAGAAATCCACTTAGCCGATTCCCGAAAAGAGAAAAATCCCTCCTAGTTTTACTGACCCCCATTCCAATTCCACTCCCATTCCCATTCCCACTCCATGAAATTGTCCCATCAGTTCTATGCTTCCCCCCAGCTCTCAGACTCGACTTCTCGAACACTCCCCACTCCTAACCTCGCATTTCACTCCCCATCAACAGAGTGCGGTGTGCGGCCCCATGTCAAGTCCGGCCGCATCGTCGGCGGCAAGGGCTCTACCTTCGGCGCCTTCCCCTGGCAGGTCCTCGTCCGGGAGTCCACCTGGCTGGGCCTGTTCACCAAGAACAAGTGCGGCGGCGTCCTAATCACCAGTCGCTACGTCATCACCGCCGCCCATTGTCAGCCCGGGTAAGATATTCATTGCAGTCTCGGATTGGATGGTACTTAAATCGTTCTGATTTCCCCCTCCTCTACAGCTTCCTAGCCTCGTTGGTAGCTGTTATGGGTGAATTCGACATCTCCGGTGATCTGGAGAGCAAGCGGTCTATCACGAAGAATGTGAAGCGTGTCATCGTTCACCGGCAATACGATCCGGCCACGTTCGAAAACGATCTGGCCCTGCTGGAATTGGACAGTCCAGTGTCGTTTGATACACATATTGGTAAGTGAAGTATAGAGATAATAAAAGTGGCGCCCATCAAGGGATCGCATAAATTAAGGATTTTCATTCCATTTAAATGAAACACAATATACATTTTGTAAAACTAAATTAGACCTTAAAATGAAAAAAAGAAATTAACTAACTTTAAGAATATTTGGCGCCCGAGCAGGGACCGAATTAAGTTCAGTTTTTCATCGAACCAAAACATCGATTTCTAAAGACCAAAAGTTCCATTAAAAATTGTCCATCTTTAACATTGTTAATTTGAGTATTTATTTTCCTCCTTTGCAGTGCCCATTTGCATGCCTAACGACGTTGCGGACTTCACTGGACGCATGGCCACCGTGACCGGCTGGGGACGCCTCAAGTATGGCGGCGGAGTGCCATCCGTTTTGCAGGAGGTTCAGGTAGGCACTCTCAGCCATCACAATCTGCTTTGAAACACAAACTAACCCGGGGCCAATTTAAATTAGGTGCCGATTATCGAGAACAGCGTTTGTCAGGAGATGTTCCACACTGCTGGCCACAACAAGAAGATTCTCAACTCCTTCCTGTGCGCCGGCTATGCCAATGGGCAAAAGGACTCTTGTGAGGTAAGTTTTGCGATGTATCCAAAAATTCAAGCATATATTATTTGTGGTTCATTTAAAATTAGTAAAACTATAGTTTCGTCTGCTTTAAGTACCAACCATTAAAAATATTTTGGAATATTAGTGATCTATAGAGGAGTTATTTTAAAAATATTTATTTTTTATTTTTCTGATACTTCTTAAAATGTTTAATATTCGTAACTCCATAGGAGTAGTAAATCAAACATTTATATTTTTATCTTTCTACTACTACTTAAAAAAAACATTTGATAATCAATGCAGTTCGACAGATGGCGCCACCTAAGCCACGATTGTTTTGTGGGGCTTTAGTTTCGAAAAGTTGGGAAACACGACTTTAACGTTCCATATGGTTTTATAAATTTAAATTACTGTCTCCCACTATTGCAATGTTTTTAAATGGACTCTAATCTCTTCCATTTTTCCTGCAGGGTGACAGTGGTGGTCCGCTGGTGTTGCAGCGCCCCGATGGACGCTACGAGTTGGCCGGAACCGTGTCCCACGGCATCAAATGTGCGGCGCCGTACCTGCCCGGCGTCTATATGCGCACCACCTTCTACAAGCCCTGGCTGCGCAGCATAACGGGCGTGAAATAAGGTGGAGGCGACATCGGCATCCACAGCCTTCATGGAAGCAGTGACCCCGAGGTGGCCAAGTAGCTGCTGGGGAATGAGCAACAAGTGTAAATAGAACGTAGAGTTTTAAGAGTCGTGGACAGAAGCGTGAGAAGAGTTGGCTTAACTTTTTTGAAACGTCGCATTTTTCGAATCCTGCCCCCCAAACCCTTCTCCTACCATGCTACCATCATTTCATTAGCTTAATTGAAAATCAACTGCAGCAACTTCAAGCGAAATGCGCTGGGAATTTCCGAATTCTCAGATTCTGATATTTTGTTTGAGCAGGCTGTAGGTTCCGTTTCTTTGAGTACGCGTGCCTAACACTTGTAGAGTCTGAATGAGAATTACGCTAATTGCAAGCCGTATGCTTAAGAAATATTTATTCTAGTTCTAAGCCTATTTATTTGACTATTTATTTATTTATGTGGCGAAACGAAACGATTTGTGCGTTTGATTCAACTAAAAAAATTGTTATTTTCATAGGCAAATTGTTGTTATGTTCAAATGAAAGCGAGAGCAAATGTTTTTAGTTCAATTGAATTTACTAATTTATCGATTTATTACATTAATTTTTTTATCTAATTACGTTTTATGTTAATTGTTAAGCGAACGAACAAATCGAAAAGAGATCGAAATAAACGAAATAAATATTAATATAAATAATACAATGGGTTTGTTATTTGACATTTCAAAATTTAAAAATTTTAAGTAGTCGGACTTTTAAGAGAAGTAAGTTTCATGTCTGCATTTCAGCATTAAAGTGTGCTTATTTTACGACGCTCGCCGTCAGTTCCATAAAAATAAAACAAAAGCAATGGAATTCTAGATATATTCTGACACGGTAGCCTTGATGCAATTTCCGCCCCACGAAACACAGTTTACATCTTTCTGAAAATTGCCACAGCACTCAGCCAGCACCTTTCCCCGCATTCGGAAATTTCAATGTGCCAGTCCGTGAGTTTCTGCTCTAGCATCACCAGGTGCCAACGCTACAGGTAAATATAAAAACAAGGTTTACACTCTTAGCTTTATTCTCTTGCCAGCGTCTTGCTAGCTATGATTTTGCCATCTATAGGTCGCTTCAGAAAATCAATCAGTTTAAGACTTTATTTTATGACCAACTACCAAACTACTTGATTAAAACAAAAGGCGAAGAATCTAACCATCAATATTAAGTATCTGCCACTGCACAACTAAAACCCTTTGGGAATTACAGCATCGTAGGAGTGACTTTACCACTAAGAGTTTATAATGATAGTCAATCAGATATGTAGGCAAAATGACTATTGCATTATACAAGAATAGTGGCTCGCGGCTCTATTATTAAAACCAATTTATTTTTCAGCTTTAAACATTTTTACGCAAAAAAATTTCATTTTTCGAGCATGTGAGAACGTAAGTTTTTTTCTGTGTAGGAATTTTATAGAAGAGAAACTTTACTCTTCCAGGAAAAACTCAATACAAACGTTACAAAGCAGCTTACACGCTTTAGAAATTTGAAACGAAAATGTTTTTAATTAAAACTAAAGTTTCTTTCCAGAAAAAGTAATATTTTTTTGGGGCCAACAAAAAATATGTTTATTGTAGCTTAAATTAAGAATGCCAAAATTAAGTTAAATGCTAAGAATTTATATTATTTAGTATACCAGAAAGCAGCTAAAAAGACGAAAGGTTAATTTAATGCAACTCATACAGCATTTTCAGAGTAATCTTGTCCAACAAAAATATAAATTTATTACAACTGCTACGGGTGCACCCCCACTTAGCCACATTCCATTCAACCGCAAATGCTCTAATTGGGTAAAATCATTTGCATATTGAAAGCTGAGAGCTAAGGGAGCAGTGGGGTGCGTGGCATGGACACAGAGTTCTCATTATCCTGATGCAAGAAATGTCCTAGAGGGAAGGCTCTTTTCATCTCGATTTGGCTGGCCAGTTGCATGTTTTTCGTCAAACAGATTTGCCTGCAGGATCCCTTGTTGGTTTCATTGGGTGAGATGTGCTCATTAAATTTGCACTGCTACCACAAATCACAGTGACGTCATGGCCAAAAAATTCAACGTCTTATTACACATATAGAAGCAGGATTCCTGGAAGCTTTGCCAGTGCCACAAACACACTTAATTCATAAAAATCCAACCGAAAGCTCGACGGGCCAAAAGCTTTGCGGCAGCAGCTAGCCGACAGGTGTTGTTTAAGCCAAGCCAAACAGTCAGTAGCCGACAGGACGAGCAGCCAGCAGGTATGTTGTGTGCCACACAGATCCCATCCGCCGCCGAATCATTCGCGAGCGGTGAAAGTGAAAGTTGACACGTGTATCGTACCTGGATGTTTGTGGTGTATATATCGGGACGTGGGGTGCGGCAATGTGGTGCAACTAATGCATATGCACTTTAAATTCATCTGCGGGCGTGTCGCAATCAACTCTGGCAAATGACGTTCTAATTTTCCGTTAGAACGGTGTTCTTTTTCAGGCACTTGTCTACGGGTAAAAGTGGGGAACTGCTCGGCATTTGATCAATTTTCCCCCCTGACTTCTGAGTAAGTTTCGGAAATGGGATATGGTATAAAAGGAACACAATTAGCGGCAAAGTGTGCCATTACAAACCAATTTGGCTAGAGTTTTTTCACCTCAAATTAAATCCTTTCTTTCGCGAAAAGCTAAAGCTGATACTTTGGTTAATTCAGGCCAAATTTGCTGCTTACAATTACGCCTAATAATACGTGGTATTTTTTATAGTCATATTATTATTGGATACCTACCTATTTACCTATTTTATTTGCATTTTAAATGTAAAATACATTTAGACATCAATTAAAGGCAAAATACAGTTAAATTTGACTAAAATTAAACTACACTTGTAAATTACAGCAGGTAATTTATCAATGTTTTGTTTAATCCTCTTAACGAAGCATAAACGTGTTAGTTAGTTACAAAGGCCAATATCATAGTAAGAAGCTTGTTTTCAATTTACAGAGTGCACACCAAGCATATTTCTTACAAAAGGTCAAGTGGCACAAGTGGCTGCTCAATTAGGAAACTTTTATCAACTCATCGCTTAAGCGCATCAAAACTCAAACCCCCTTGCAGTTATTGGCAAAGTTTGACCAATTGTGTAAAATATTACACGAAACTAACTAATTGCCAAACTTTGAGATGACCCTAAAGCAATCAGCCACATTCAGCGAATGGAAACCAAAGTTTTGCCATCGGTGGAAATAGCAGTTTGACACTTTTTACCTGATAAGAATTCGAACCTTAAGAGACTCCAACTTCAACGGCACTTTAGTAAATTAAGAAACGGAAAACAACTGGATCAATTCTCATTTACCTACCTGGCAATAAAAAAGCTCGCCCAATTCCAGCTAAAACGCAATTAGTCAAGATTTGATAACCGACTATGGACGGTTAATTGTAATTACTGAAAAGGGGCAAAATGCCAGGCAACAGACCCGCGGAGTTAGACGACAAGAACTTTGACAAGCCACCTCACTGAAAGTAGAAGAAAGTAATTAACAAAATGCTAAAAGAGAACCAAAAAGGACTCTATCTGGTGCCGTCTAGCTCATTTGTCCGGGACACCACCTTCAGGAGCAGGAGTAATAACAAAATTGCACTCCCACCTCGGAAGAATTCCTGCGACCGGCTGGAAAATGTTTTTCTTTGCCTTGAGCTTGTCAACAGCCTTTCTTCATTCATTTACTTATTATTACCACAGCAACAACAAATATTGCCAATCGACCATTTAGGTAAGGTCAAAGGTTGAAATTGAATGTCTGTCGACAAGGTTAGCCAATGCAGTCTAAAATAAGAACTGTCATCCCAATAAGTAGGCAATTAAATCTAACATGTTGTCTATTCTTAAAACAGCTCATTGTTAATATGGCAATCCACGGTATTATTGATTAAAATGTCCAAAATATTCTTTAGACAGGGAGAACAAAGTCAGGAAATATCCAGCTTAAGAAGTAATTAAAATGCTATGTTTTAACTTTAAATTCATTGCTAGAAGCTGTTACACAAATTGTTTTAATTACTTTTCCCAAGGATAAGCCATCAAGGAACTGAATACAATTAACATACATTTTTAAAATGAAAGGAAAATTCACTTTGTGTTTTTGTATTCCCCTAGGCAAGCATGACTTTCAGGGTTTTTTCTGGCTTGATAATAATAATCTACTTTTAAAGGTATTATAAAAGATTAAAGGAATTTAGGGGAAAGAAATGCATTCTATCACCTAGTTTCGTGAGGGATTATTTTAATTAAGCTAATACTGATTTTCTACTTTGGCAGCTTATTCTATTTAAATTGAAAATTAGTATTCATAATTTAATGATAAAAGAATTCTCTAAATTGAGGTTGATGGTCAAATTTGGTTAAATCAAATAAAGTAGACAGTATTCGAAATGGTTATAATTTGCCCATTAGGATTTATATATTCGAATTTCATCCGGTAGTAAAAACAAAGCAATGGAAGCGAGTCCGGGGTCTGAGAATACATAAATAAAGTCACAGCCGGTAATAACACTAAAAGCAAGCCGACAATTTTAATGAGCTGCCTGACGGAGATATGGCCCGGAGTGGTTCAAGGAGCCACGAATTGTATGTCAGGATGAATGCTTTGTTTAAGCGCAAATATAGGGGAATTTCTCATCCCAGAGGAGGGCAGTGCACGGCTCCTGGGCAGGCATACGTTTCAATTAAGCCAAGACTCGGTTCTCGTTTTCACAGTTGACCGGTCAGCAGCAACAATCATTCCACGGGCAAAGATGTACTAACGTGGCCGCCATGAGCAACATTCCGAGGTGGGCAGCCCTGCTGCTGCTCCTGGTTTTGGCCCATCACCTGGACCCCTCGCTGGCCACGCCCCCATCCTCGTCGTCATCTGGAAACGCCTGGCAGCGCGCTCTATTCGGACGCGATTCGCGCAACCTGATGCACCGCAGAGCCCCGTTTGCCGTCGCCGGAGATCTGGCCCTCAACGATTACCTTGGCCCGTACTCCGGCGTCGAGCCGGAGCAGCACCAACCGCTTCCGCCGCCACAGCAGGTGAGTGTGGTGGGTGTGTGTAATTACAAGTAATTGCAGAGCGTATAACCGCTGACAGCATGGATACATAAAGGCTGCCGCCAGATAAATTCATTATATCAATCGAAAGTGTGAGTGTAACGTATATAAATCGTAACAAGCTAAATTACATGGAAACAATTTAAATCAGTTTTAACGATTAAGCAAAAACAGTTTGAGTTCTTTAAAATCGTTAAACATTTTTTTTTCTTTTGTTCTCATACTTTTATTGAAACTTCTAAAATTAAAACAATATCAATTTTTAGACGTCACTCTCCAGTGGAATATTTAATTAGCTGAATTAATAAAGTTTATGGACTAAGTTTATGGATTTAATATTATTAGGTTGGTAGTCAGAATTTCATACCTAGAAAAGAAAAAAAAACAAAAGTATACATAATTTAAGCATTTTCTGAAGGTATTCAAAATAATTTTTTTCATAAACATTTTTTTTTATACAAATGAAGTTTATGTTTTGCATATAAAATATTTTGAAAATTTGTTTTTTTTTTTAAGCAATTCCCTAAAATTGCTTTGTATGTGCACATTTCAATGAGTATACGCCATGTTGGCAAGCCACAAATAGCCAAAGGCATTTGGAGCAGTGCTTTAAAGCAAATTGAAATTGAATCCAGAATTCTGGTATGGCTTTATTTGCCACTTGGTTCATGGATTCCAATCAAGGGAAAAGTTCAGAGTTCACTGCGAAGCTCAAATTAATTAACGCACGACAAGTGTCAGCGTTATTGATAACTGACTGACTGCTGCTGGTGAAAATATAAAGCATGCTGAACAAATGCCCCACTAATTGCCACCGCTTTCAACCCATTCTTATACAAACGTAGATGCGCCAACAGACCGAAGTTTACGGAATCGTAGAGCCGCTGATTGAGGACACGCCCTGCGCCGACCGCGCCTGTTTCATCAACGAGGATTGCTGTCCCTCCGGGGTCTGTTCCAGCACATACGGCGGTGAGTTGGCCTAATTGCATTCCATCCACCACTTCAATTATCCTCGCGCTTTAAGTCGTCTCTTACGGGGAGTAGGGCTTTAAAGTTTTATTTTCTATTTTATTTTGTCATCTAAATGAATACATAATAACTTAAGAAGGTTTTGTCTGAAGTTCGATCGAAGAAAAGTTGACGAAGATATGGCTGTTTTTATTCTTTAAAGCGTTTTTCAAAACGTTTACTGCAACGTTTTCAAATTGTAAGTACTATGTATTTCTGTACATTAGCTGCTAGGCATGGTCATTTTATACCCTTGCAGAGGGTATTACGATGTCAGTCAGAAGTTTCCGATCGTATTAAGTATATATATTCTTGAACAGCATCACTAGGAGAGTCGATCTAGCCATGTTCGTCTGTCTGTTTGTCTATCTGTCTGTCCGTCCGTCTGTCCGCTTCTACGCAAACAAGTTTATCAGTTTTAAAACCTTGTTTAATTCTTTACAACATTTTTTACGTTACGATTTCATGAGTTTGTCAACATTACATCCTGTGGTTTTATGCCTAAAATCATATTGTCCGCTGATGACCTGTATCTGTTTTTATACCCTTGCAGAGGAAGGAGAGTAAGTAAATCATAATTTTAAGGTCTTCACGAATAATTAATTTTTGCAATAGCTGCAAGGGTATATGAACTTCGGCTTGCCGAAGATTGCTTCCTTTCTTGTTAAAAATCAATTTTTTAAAGAAATTATTTTAGACCAATTTTTGCATTTTTCAGCGATGTATGACATTCCATCATTTGACTATTACTTTCAGCGTTTTGATAGAAAAACTGATTTTTTAGGTATTTTTCTTTTAGTTTTTTGGAGACTTGTAAAAAAATAAAACACGAAAGAGTCCTTTCGTTGTAACTTGGACAAAATTAGACGTATAGCCATAAGAGTGGCTGTTTTATATAGTTTGCGACCTACACTATACATCCACAATCGGCTTAGAAAAATGAATTTTGTTTTGGTGTAAAAACAGATTTTTAAAAATCGATTTTTTGAAGAAATTAATTTTACGACCAATTTTTGCATTTTTGATAAGGGTCATCAATTTTTTGAAAATTTTGAAAATCTGAAAAATTTTTAACTGCGAATGCCATTTGATAGGCAATTTAATGACGAACAACATTTGACTATTACTCATCAGCGTTTTGATAGAAAAACTGATTTTTTAGGGTTTGTTTTTTAGGTTTTTGGAGACTTGTCAAAAAACAAAATCCGAAAGAGTCCTTTCGGTGTAACTTGGACAAAAATAGACGTACAGCCATAGGAGCGACTGTTTTGTATAGTTGGCGACCTATACTACTTAACCACAATCGGTTTAGAAAAATAAATTAAGTTTTGTTGCAAAAACAGATTTTTAAAAATCGATGTTTTGAAGAAATTAATTTTACGACCAATTTCTGCATTTTTGATAAGGGTGGGGGTCATCAATTTTTTGAAAATTTTGAAAATCTGAAAAATTTTTAACTGCGAATGCCATTTGATAGGCAATTTAATGACGAACAACATTTGACTATTATTCATCAGCGTTTTGATAGAAAAACTGATTTTTTAGGGTTTGTTTTTTAGGTTTTTGGAGACTTGTCAAAAAACAAAATCCGAAAGAGTCTTTTCGTTGTAACTTGGACAAAATTAGACGTACAGCCAAAGGAGTGACTGTTTTGTATAGTTGGCGACCTATACCTCCCAACCACAATCGGTTTAGAAAATAAAATAAGTTTTGGTGCAAAAACAGATTTTTAAAAATCGATTTTTTGAAGAAATTAATTTGATGACCAATTTTTGCATTTTTGATAAGGGTGGGGGGTCATCATTTTTTTCAAAAATTTGAAAATCTGAAAAAATATTTACTGCGAATGCCATTTGATAGGCAATTTAATGACGAATTCAGCGATGTATGACATTCCAACATTTGACTATTACTTTCAGCGTTTTGATAGAAAAACTGATTTTTTAGGTGTTTATTTTAGGCTTTTGTAGTCTTGTAAAAAGATTTTTATCTTGGTCATAAAATTAATTTCTTCAAAAAATCGATTTTTAAAAATCTGTTTTTGCACCAAAACAAAATTCATTTTTCTAAACCGATTGTGGATGGATAGTGTAGGTCGCAAACTATACAAAACAGTCACTCTTATGGCTATACGTCTAATTTTGCCCAAGTTACAACGAAAGTAGTCTTTCGTTGTTACTTAAAATTTATCAAGGAAATGCTGGGAAATAGTTTAATATATATCAAAATGAAGCGTATTAAATGGCTTTTAAAATAAATATGAATGACTATTAAATTTATAAAATAACCATTTTCACAAATAGGCTTTTATTTATATTTAAGATTTTATTAAAGCAAGAAATGTTTAGTGACTTAATTGTTTTCCACATCAAAATGCAGCGTAATTATTCCAATTGAAAATGATATTTTGTGATGTTCTTATAAAATAAGAAGCAAAGACCCATCATTTATTTCGTTGAGTGTAAAATATGTTTTACAGAAGGCAAATGCGTTTATATGTTCGGACAGCGGGACGTGTGCCAGCGGCATGCGGACTGCCCACCGGGCAGCGCCTGCATGCTGGTCGCCCAGGAGGGCGTCTGGCGGTGCGAGTCTGATCCGGAGTCGGGAGGTTCCACCTCGCTCCTGAGGGACATATTCGGACTGAGGCAGAGGCAGCCACTAGGCAGCGAGTGCAGCAGCAGCAGCGACTGTCAGGTGATCAAGTAAGTATGGTATGGGAAAGTCGATTTCTTGAAAAAAGATATAAATACTACATTTTTCAGTGGCATGTGCTGCCAGCAGCAGCGGTTGCACCACCGTGCAGCCATTAAACTGAGCTGTGGCTACTTCCGTGATGCCTTTGACTGCGTCGACATGGTTGGATCGGAAGTGAGTGGTCAATGCTGACCTAATTAGCACCAAAAATAATTTATAATTTCATTTCGCAGAACCACCGCAATTGAAAATCTATGTTTCTAGCTCAGCGAAACGGATGAGGGAAAAAAGTGAAGCCAAGCTGAAATTGATCCAACTAAATGAAATACAAAAAAAAAAACATGAACCGAATTTTTTCAATATTGCAACATATCAAATTGTTAAACAAATTCATATCAAATTGATATTGCTGTAGCTTAGAGCATTTAAATTTATAATCTGCATATGAATATTTACTACAACTCAAACGATCTAAGATATCTAAATGTGTTTTTAGTAGAAACTCCAAATATACTGACTGAGGCATTCAATGTTAATAACAGCAAGAAGAGTATTCCAATGCAATTAAATCGTTTCACGTCTAAATGTTAATCGACAACAATAAATTAACTAGCAAAGATTGTCATATGTATGCACTTAATATCATCGAAAAAGGTTTTTTAAAAGCGGGATTCTAGGAATTTACCAGGTAAGGTAAACTTACTAGCGGCAATGATCAGCGTAATGTTTGTTGATTGTCTTATTTTTACAAGGGCCTTTTCTTTAACAAAAACCGCAAAAAATATACATTTATATACAAATACATATGTATATATAAAACGTTATCTCCAGACTTCCTCTCTTTGCATAAAATGAGTTTATGGCACACAACAAGAGCAGTGTAAAATTGTGCATATCATTTCCCTTTGCCAAGTCGGAGTTTTAATAAAAGCTTTCCACACGCTTGGCACCAAAGACAATATGCATACAACCACCCACGCTCGTTAAATATGTATATTCACTTTCTTGGGGTTTAAGCTTTTTTGTTTTGCAAAACACTTTAAAACCAAAAGCTTAAGGCACAGAAATAATTATGAGATTGAGTGGGCAAAACAAAACACATAAATTAAACTTCATATACTTCACATAACCCACACCATAACTAATTAATTAGGTTTACGCCTGGAATAGAGAAAATAAACAACAAACGAAGTAAGTTGTTTTACAAATATTTTCGGTTGCTTTTATGCATGTATTTTTATTTAAAGTGCCAGTAAAAACGCAGCTTAAAGCTAAAAGTTAAACTCTGTTTACACTTTTAACGCTTTTGTTTTGAACATTACACCCAAGTAAATCATTCCTCGTTTCTCTATCTCTCTCTTTGCCTTTCTATATATCTCTCATGATCCAATCCATTTACGATTAATACACATTACAAATCTTTCGCCTATTTCCTTTATGGCTGAGACACATTTTGCTTACTTGAGCCTAACATAATTCGCAAAAAGTTTTTCGTTTTAGTATTTTAAATCTTTGAAATGTTGAACCAAAATTCTATTTTGCAGCAAAATAGGATCTTTTTTGTAAAATTAATTTTTATATGTTTTTGCGCATTGTTAAAGTCTTTTGTTGAATTTGTGTTCTTCGGTTTTATTGAATCTTAAACTCAGTTCAATGTAAGTTGTTTTTGGTTTGGATCAGGGACTAAGGTCGTGGGTTTTAGGAAATGCTCCACATTGTAGGTTGTTTTGGGGTTTGTCTTAGAAACAACTTTCTGCTTAAACTTAGTTTGGAGCACTGACAAACAATTATCAATAAACGCACTTCATTGAAATTTTGTTTCTTTTTTTGTGTTCGACTCGCACAGACTATTTACAGATTTTACAATTACAGGAATAGTTTCAGAAACTAAATATATGTATGCAAATACAGCTTAAAATATTTTGCTTAGATTTGTTTTTCCCAAAGAAATCGATTGTGTTCGTACAGGAAATGATTAACTTCGGAAGGCTTAAAATAAAATAGGAAATTAAATTTCGCAGGCCGAAAAATAACAATATGCATTATATAATCATAACCCTAATTACAATCTTGCATGCACTTGTAGCTTACATCCAAATGATTAAAATGTTAATTAATGTTTACTTTAATCTCTCAGCTGGCGTGTGTTTATGGGTTGTGGGAACATGGTTTGTGTTGAAACTACTATTGCATTTCGATAATGGTTTTGTGTGTGTACAGGTATATGTTGATAACGGACTCATTAAGCTTTATGGCATTTGATGTGAAAAATTAATTATTTTACGATGTTAAACTTATTGTATGACCCGAAATTAGCACACCAAACTGTGTGTTCACATACTTAAACTAGTGGTTTAGCTTTGTTCACGAAACATTGAGTTCCTTTGAATTTACAATAGAAGCAAATATAGTATACAATTCATATACAAATATACCATAAATCTTTTTAATATTTTATATATATATATATTTTTTATTTTAATAGAAAAACTGATTTTTTAGGGTTTTTTTTTTTAGGTTTTTGGAGACTTGTCAAAAAACAAAATCCGAAAGAGTCCTTTCGGTGTAACTTGGACAAAATTAGACGTACAGCCATAGGAGTGACTGTTTTGTATAGTTGGCGACCTATACTACCCAACCACAATCGGTTTAGAAAAATAAATTAAGTTTTGTTGCAAAAAAAAGATTTTTAAAAATCGATTTTTTGAAGAAATTCATTTGATGACCAATTTTTGCATTTTTGATAAGGGTGGGGGTCATCAGTTTTTTCAAAATTTTGAAAATCTGAAAAATTTTTAACTGCGAATGCCATTTCATAGGCAATTTAATGACGAATTCAGCGATGTATGACATTCCAACATTTGACTATTACTTCTCAGCGTTTTGATAGAAAAACTGATTTTTTAGGTGTTTTTTTTAGGTTTTTGGAGACTTGTCAAAAAACAAAATCCGAAAGAGTCCTTTCGGTGTAACTTGGACAAAATTAGACGTACAGCCATAGGAGTGACTGTTTTGTATAGTTGGCGACCTATACTACCCAACCACAATCGGTTTAGAAAAATAAATTAAGTTTTGTTGCAAAACAAAATTTTTAAAAATCGATTTTTTGAAGAAATTCATTTGATGACCAATTTTTGCATTTTTGATAAGGGTGGGGGTCATCAATTTTTTCAAAATTTTGAAAATCTGAAAAATTTTTAACTGCGAATGCCATTTGATAGGCAATTTAATGACGAATTCAGCGATGTATGACATTCCGACATGTGACTATTACTTCTAAGCGTTTTGATAGAAAAACTGATTTTTTAGGGGTTTTTTTTAGGTTTTTGGAGACTTGTTAAAAAACAAAATCCGAAAGAGTCCTTTCGTTGTAACTTGGACAAAATTAGACGTACAGCCATAGGAGTGACTGTTTTGTATAGTTGGCGACCTATACTACCCAACCACAATCGGTTTAGAAAAATAAATTAAGTTTTGTTGCAAAACAAAATTTTTAAAAATCGATTTTTTGAAGAAATTCATTTGATGACCAATTTTTGCATTTTTGATAAGGGTGGGGGTCATCAATTTTTTCAAAATTTTGAAAATCTGAAAAATTTTTAACTGCGAATGCCATTTGATAGGCAATTTAATGACGAATTCAGCGATGTATGACATTCCGACATGTGACTATTACTTCAAAGCGTTTTGATAGAAAAACTGATTTTTTAGGGGTTTTTTTTAGGTTTTTGGAGACTTGTTAAAAAACAAAATCCGAAAGAGTCCTTTCGTTGTAACTTGGACAAAATTAGACGTACAGCCATAGGAGTGACTGTTTTGTATAGTTGGCGACCTATACTACCCAACCACAATCGGTTTAGAAAAATAAATTAGGTTTTGTTGTAAAAAAAAATTTTTAAAAATCGATTTTTTGAAGAAATTCATTTGATGACCAATTTTTGCATTTTTGATAAGGGTGGGGGTCATCAATTTTTTCAAAATTTTGAAAATCTGAAAAATTTTTAACTGCGAATGCCATTTGATAGGCAATTTAATGACGAATTCAGCGATGTATGACATTCCGACATGTGACTATTACTTCTAAGCGTTTTGATAGAAAAACTGATTTTTTAGGGGTTTTTTTTTAGGTTTTTGGAGACTTGTTAAAAAACAAAATCCGAAAGAGTCCTTTCGTTGTAACTTGGACAAAATTAGACGTACAGCCATAGGAGTGACTGTTTTGTATAGTTGGCGACCTATACTACCCAACCACAATCGGTTTAGAAAAATAAATTAAGTTTTGTTGCAAAAAAAGATTTTTAAAAATCGATTTTTTGAAGAAATTCATTTGATGGCCAATTTTTGCAGTTTTGATAAGGGTGGGGGTCATCAATTTTTTCAAAATTTTGAAAATCTGAAAAATTTTTAACTGCGAATGCCATTTGATAGGCAATTTAATGACGAATTCAGCGATGTATGACATTCCGACATGTGACTATTACTTCTAAGCGTTTTGATAGAAAAACTGATTTTTTAGGGGTTTTTTTTAGGTTTTTGGAGACTTGTTAAAAAACAAAATCCGAAAGAGTCCTTTCGTTGTAACTTGGACAAAATTAGACGTACAGCCATAGGAGTGACTGTTTTGTATAGTTGGCGACCTATACTACCCAACCACAATCGGTTTAGAAAAATAAATTAGGTTTTGTTGTAAAACAAAATTTTTAAAAATCGATTTTTTGAAGAAATTCATTTGATGGCCAATTTTTGCAGTTTTGATAAGGGTGGGGGTCATCAATTTTTTCAAAATTTAATGACGAATTCAGCGATGTATGACATTCCGACATGTGACTATTACTTCTAAGCGTTTTGATAGAGAAACTGATTTTTTAGGGGTTTTTTTAGGTTTTTGGAGACTTGTTAAAAAACAAAATCCGAAAGAGTCCTTTCGTTGTAACTTGGACAAAATTAGACGTACAGCCATAGGAGTGACTGTTTTGTATAGTTGGCGACCTATACTACCCAACCACAATCGGTTTAGAAAAATAAATTAAGTTTTGTTGCAAAACAAAATTTTTAAAAATCGATTTTTTGAAGAAATTCATTTGATGACCAATTTTTGCATTTTTGATAAGGGTGGGGGTCATCAATTTTTTCAAAATTTTGAAAATCTGAAAAATTTTTAACTGCGAATGCCATTTGATAGGCAATTTAATGACGAATTCAGCGATGTATGACATTCCGACATGTGACTATTACTTCTAAGCGTTTTGATAGAGAAACTGATTTTTTAGGGGTTTTTTTAGGTTTTTGGAGACTTGTTAAAAAACAAAATCCGAAAGAGTCCTTTCGTTGTAACTTGGACAAAATTAGACGTACAGCCATAGGAGTGACTGTTTTGTATAGTTGGCGACCTATACTACCCAACCACAATCGGTTTAGAAAAATAAATTAAGTTTTGTTGCAAAACAAAATTTTTAAAAATCGATTTTTTGAAGAAATTCATTTGATGACCAATTTTTGCATTTTTGATAAGGGTGGGGGTCATCAATTTTTTCAAAATTTTGAAAATCTGAAAAATTTTTAACTGCGAATGCCATTTGATAGGCAATTTAATGACGAATTCAGCGATGTATGACATTCC